TTAACATATGCCATACATCAATTGATTTATATGGATAATCAATACATCCAAAATAGTTTACATCGTGTACACAATAATTACGGCATTACATCGGCGGTGACGGTTGACCGCACGTACTTTCTCCTCACTATTGTTCCCTCCTTGTGATCGCTGCGTGAGTAAGGGGTGTCTTCATTTGATAGGAGGATGCTAGGGTCAATCGTCACCGTGAAAGGGGGTTGCCCATCCAACTGATCGTAATCCTCGTCAGTCTTGTCCTCAACTCCGACGATTTTTCTTTTGCCTGGGAGAACCACTTGACGCTTAGGCTCATCAGGCCCTCTGCCCTTCTTTCCTTTGCTAGACATGTCCTTCACGAAAAAGACTTGCGTTACATCATTGGCAAGGACAAAAGGTTCGTCCGAGTATCCAACCTTGTTAAGGTCAACAGTTGTCATCCCACTGTCATCAATCATTACGCCTCCACCAGTCAACCTAACCCATTGGCACCGGAACAGAGGAACCTTGAGAGGACCATAGTCAAGTTCCCATATGTCCTCGATGGCACCGTAATACGTGGCAGTTGTTCCATCGTGTCCCATGGCATCGACACGAACAGCGCTGTTTTGGTTCGTGCTCTTCATGTCTTGGGCTCTCGTGTAGAATGTGTACCCATTGATCTCATATCCCTGGAATGTCGTGATCGACCCAGACGGTCCCCTCGCCAGGAAGGCAAGTTGTTGGTTGATTGACTCGTTATCCATGAGATGTTGTCGTAGCCACGCGGGGAAAGTATCAATGTGATGCCGTGTAATCCATGCATCGGACTTACCGATGTTCCTGGCGTGAACTAGAGCCAAGTGCTCCTCGATGTAAGGAGCTACCAATGAAGAGTGTTGCAGAACAGTGAAATGGGCTTTACGGAATAAATTGTTGTCTACCGTCGTTATTGCTTTCCTTCCGAGAGTTCCCTTTCCCCGTAGTCTCCCTTCATGGCGTGATTCAGGTACCCCGATTGGGCGAAGGTCTTCGATAAATTCTACGCAAAATTCGATGACCTCCTCTGTTCCATAACCCTTGGCGATGCTTGCCTCTGGACGAGCACGGTTACGAACATACTTCTTCAGAACGCCCATGTACCTCTCGAAAGGAAACATGTTGTGTAGGTACATAGGCCCGAGAATACGGATCTCTTTCACAAGGTGACAAAGCAGATGCGTCATTATATTGAAAAATGAAGGTGGAAATATCAACTCAAAACTGACGAGACATTGCACCACTTCATTCTGAAGGGCTTCTAATCTATCCGGATCGATGACCTTCTGCGAAATTGCGTTCATGAATGCACATAGCTTTGTTATTGTTGCCCGGACATTGTCTGGAAGGATACCCCTTATTACAACTGGTAGCAGTTGTGTCATCAACACGTGACAGTCATGAGACTTTAGGTTTGTGAACTTCTTCTCCTTCGTGCTTATTATTCGCTTGATATTCGTGGAGTATCCAGACGGTACCTTTATTCTCTCCAAGCATTCAAACATACTTTCCTTCTCTGCCTTGCTAAGAGTGTAGCTGGCTGGACTCAAGTAATGGCTTCCTTTCTCCTTTGGTTCCGGGTGAAGGTCGCCGCGTTGTTCCATATGCTTCAGATCATTACGTGCTTCCAGTGTATCTTTCGACTTTCCGTATACACCTAGGAAGCCAAGAAGGTTTACGCAAAGGTTCTTAGTGAGGTGCATCACGTCGATTGCGTGGCGTACGTCCAAGAATTCCCAATATGGTAACTCCCAAAATATAGAGTTCTTTTTCCACATCGCCGCGTGACCATCTTCGCTCTCTATATGCTGGCTTCCAGGCCCCTTTCCGAACACTACTTTAAGATCTTTAACCATAGCAAACACTGTTTTCCCGCTGCGATGTTTAGGCTTCGTACGGTGGTCGGCCTTATGTTCGAAGTGCTTGCCTTTCTTCCGTACCGGGTGGTTTGCTGCAAGGAATCGACGATGACCCATGTATACAACCTTCCTACAGTGCTTAAGATATGTACTTTCTGTTTCATCCATACAGTGAGTGCAAGCCTTGTACCCCTTGTTGGACTGTCCGGATAGGTTGCTAAGTGCAGGCCAATCGTTGATGGTTACGAACAGCAGCGCTCGTAGGTTAAACTCCTCCTGTTTGTCCTCGTCCCACACGGGGACACCTTCCTTCTTCCACAACTGTTTAAGATCTTCTACCAGTGGTCTTAGGTACACGTCGATGTCGTTACCAGGTTGCTTGGGGCCTTGAATAATAATCGGCATCATTATGTACTTCCTCTTCATGCATAGCCAGGGGGGAGGTTATAGATACACATCGTAACGGGCCAAGTGCTATGGCCGCTGCTCATCTCTCCAAAAGGATTCATGCCATCCGTACTCAAACCAAACCGTATGTTTCGTGCGTCCTTTCCAAATTCTTTAAATTTTCTGTCGATGTTTCGCCACTGCGAACCATCGGCGGGGTGTCTCAGCATCCCGTCCTGTTGACGCTCTTCAGCGTGCCATCGCAACATTCTAGCATTCCCCTTGTTCCTGAACAAACGCCTTAGCCGTGGTATTATAGAGAAATACCACATCACCTTAGCAGGAATTCTCTTCTTTGTTACCTGCCCGTCAACTTCTCCTGGATCGTCCCGTCTAATCTTGTATCGTAGTGCTTTGCAAACAGGGCATGCTTCTAGGTTCTCATACTCCTCACCGCGATATAGGATACAATCGTTCGGACATGCGTGAATCTTATGAACTTCCAGTCCTAACGGGCAGACTATCTTCTTAGCCTCGTACGTTGTCTCGGGCAATTTGTTTCCCCCCGGAAGAATGTTCTTGACGAGTTTCAATAAATCGCCAAATGCCTTGTCACTAACCCCATTTTTTGCCTTCCATTGCAACAACTCCAGAGTGGTATCCAACTTTTTGTGCCCCTGCTCGCAACCTGGGTACAACGAAGTTCTGTGGTCCTCCAACATCTTGTCCAATTTATGGGCCTCCTTTTCACTTTCACAGTCCTCCCTGGCGTCCTGCAACATCTGACCAAGATCATCCGCAACGTCGTTACCATCAGCAGCTATTTCCTCCTCCCCCGTTTGATTTCCTTCAAATCCAACATACTGAGCAAAGTCCGGAATATTGTCGTCTTCCACTTCATCTTCTTCCATTTCAACACCTTGCTCTCCGTGGGATGTCCAACAATTATAGCTTGGCATGAACCCTGACTCAAACAAGTGGAAATGAATAGTCCTGGATGCAGAATACTCCTTCTGATTCTTACACTTATTGCATGGACAACAAATAAAACCCCTTTGCCTGTTAGCTTCGGCCACTCTCAAAAAATAGTGCACGCCATCAATAAACTCTTTGGACCGCCGGTCAGCATACATCCATTGCCGATCCATCTACATGAGTCAAAAAAACCGTACACAAATTATTATTCTTACAATAATGACAGTCATACAATAATTATAAGATATCTTTATTCATACAAAAATCATAAAATATTACACCAAATAATTCTTAAAAACTATTTGTAAAGTTTTAAACTAATTTTAATGTGTTTTACTTCTTTTAATTTTCATTTTAGTTTGTTTTCTATTATTTAAGATTAACTTTCACTAGAGTTTTCCTTCTCAACTATTTTATAAAACCTTGTTTAGCAAATGAACTAAATTTCTATATATTCTTTCTTCCCCACACACATTTTCTCTCTCATCAACTTACAACTAAATTTTGGAGACAAAAAAAGTGTGCAAAACATAGGTGCAAATGTAGTATGACAAAAAAAAACATTGGAGGATGAAGTTGCAAACCTTTTAGGCACCTCCGATTTGTATGTAATCACCAAAATAAATTCAATAGAAATTTTGGCATGACCTCCCCTCTTTTTTGAAGAAATTTTGAAGCTTGCTCGGGCAGCTGGAGGAGGAAGAAGACATATATATAGGGGTGGGACTTTAGTCCCGGTTGGTAGCACCAACCGGGGCTAAAGATCACCGGGATACCAACCGGGACTAAAGTTACGATCTTTAGTCCCGGTTTGTGTTACCAACCGGGACTAAAGATCCCGGGGGGGCCTGACAGGCCCTGACAGCATTCGAACCGGGACTAAAGATGATCTTTAGTCCCGGTTGATAACACAAACCGGGACTAAAGATCAAATATGCCCGTTACCCTTTTGAACCGGGACTAAAGATCATCTTTAGCCCCGGTTTTTATTGCATCCGGGACTATTGTGGAAATCGGCCGACCGACGAAAGATGGTTTCTCCACCAGTGTCTCGTTGTGAGTAGCGTCATATAGTTCCATGGCACGCAGCGCCTGTGTGTGGCGCTACGTAGCGCCACCGTATATATATATATATATACATACATACATACATATATATATATATATATGTATGTATGTATGTATGTATGTATGTACTCCCTCCCCCTATTGGATAATCCACGAGCTACCCAGTTAATCGGTTTGAAAAATAAAAGACAGAAAATATCTTTCTTTGGCTGCATGGAGGCACAACGGAAACCTGAGTTCCGGTTTTGGTGCAACCGCATTATTCGAAGTATTAAATGTTAATCATATCCCTAATTTCAATTTATATGCTTAATTTAGTAGTATATACTGTTTGTTTAGTTAGTAGTAGTATATACTGTTTTTAAAGTTGGTTGTAGTATATATATATATATATACTGTTTTTCAGAAAGTATTAGTATATGCAGTATTTTTTTAGCATTTGTACATACTTTTTTTTAAAGTAGAAGTATATACTGTTTATCAATTCGTAGTAGCATATTCTTTTCTTTAAGCTAGTGTCGGTATATACTGTTTTTTATTTACTAGCAGTATATACTGTTTTTAAAATTATTTTCAGTATATACTGTTTATCACTTAGTAGTAGCATATGCTGTTTTTAAGTTGGTATCGGTATATACTGCCTTGTAGTTAGTACTAGGTATGGGATTGCCAGTTATATGAATCAGAACACACGAGTTTGACCATGAGCAAGAAGTATCAATCTCTGATTAAGATTTACAAACAAAATCACTCTAACATTCAGAATCGTGCAAATTAAACTTAATGCTCTAGCAGGATACTGAATTTTGAATGGACAGTATAAGTGCTTCTTTTCCCTATCAAAACCAGGAGATCAAGACAGAAACATAACAATGAAGCGGAGGTAGTACGTATGGCGATTAAATCAGCCTAATGCGGACCCTGGATTAATTTGCTCAGGTAGATCCTGGATGTGGTTCATAGAAACGAATAAAGAATCTCTATATCCCCAGATATTGATTCTTCAGACTAGCACCAAAGGCATGGATGACCGGGCATGCGAACAGCACGCCTGACAGGAGACTATCAAGGATGCTGCCTGATATATAGATCAGTGCTGTCTCTGCACGGCTTGATGATGGTGGGCCGCCGCCGTCGCCACAGACCATATGGCATATGCAGGCTGGTTGATTGATCGACGCTCGGGAAGTGCCGCGATATCGATGGACGATGGCACCAGAAGCAAGATCTACGCATCAAAAACCAAACTGTTTGCAAGTCATTTTTGGGAATGAATGTTTTGTTGCTATGGAGATTTAAACAGGAAAACCAAAGGGAACTCTTCATCTGCAATAAAAGCATATAAAATTGGAAGGATTAAACCGTCGCCTAGTAGATCCGATGATCCACTGTCACCTGGTAATCACGGTAGCAGTGCCCTGCTGATGGATCGATACCGTATTAGAGTTGGAGCTTGCCGATGGATTCACTGAGAAGGAGACACCGCCAGGGCCGGGGTACGCCTTCGCCTAGGTGGCCCATGGGCAGCGTTGTGTGCTGCCATCGCCACCTCGTTCTCGACGAAGAGGCGCCGGCGCCGTCTGCCGAGGCGGAGAGGAGGCGAATCGGGGGGCCCTAATGGGCGATCGATCGCCCTGGGCGATCGGATCCGGCCCCCCTCCCCGTATACTCCTCCCTCCTCTCCCCTATTCCTTCTCCCCTTCTCCTTTCTACTACATTAGACTACACAAAATATTTTGAAAAATAAAAGTTAGAAAAATTTATGTATAGAAATACTATATATAAAAAATTTGAATTCAAATTCAAATTTGAATCGGGTATGTAAACTTTTGACTTATAAACTTTGGGTCTATAAACTTTAGGTGTATAAACTTTAGATGTATAGAAATACTATATATAGAAAATATTTGAATTCAAATTTAAATTTGAATTAGATATAATTCAAATTCAAATTTGAATCGGGTATATAAACTTTAGGTCTATAAACTTTAGGTGTATAAACTTTAGATGTATAGAAATACTATATATAAAAATATTTGAATTCAAATTCAAATTTGAATCGGATATTTGAATTCAAATTCAAATTTGAAACGGGTATATAAACTTTTGACTTATAAACTTTAGATCTATAAACTTTAGATGTATAGAAATACTATATATAAAAAATATTTGAATTCAAAATTCAAATTTGAATTGGATATATAAACTTTTGGTCTCTAAACTTTAGATGTGTAAACTTTAGGTGTATAAGCTTTAGGTGTATAAATTTACTAAAATAGGAAAGTAATGCGGTGCCAAAAAAGAAAACCAGGTGGAGGGAGGGAGGGTGGAGGGAGGGAGAGGGAGGAGGGGGAAAAATCCGATTGCTATGGGCGAGCGCTCGCCCAGTAGCATTTCCGGGCGAATCGGTATGCTGGAAGGGTACGAGAGCAAGCAGATGCCGTGGAATTTATATGGACAGTTTGCCGATCCGATTATTGTGGGATAATTATGGGTTATCACGGTTTTATTTCTCTCATAATAAAATTGAAACGGGTTTACTCATACGATCCGATAGCAGGGCTCAATCGGGTGCTAGCTGGGATGAACGGTGGATTGGAGCAGGAGTACGTACACCTGAGTGTATAGAACCATTTTCCTATATATATATTAGAAACTACTACCGGGAGTAGCTACTCCCTCCCTATCCTCCCTCAATTCGATCACTAGCACTAGATAATCCTAATGACTGTTAACGGGTCTAATGAATCGAATACTCCCACCCGTTTTTATTTTTCTCGGTGGTTAACTTATCTTCTACAGCAGATTCAAAAATTGAACGTAGCCTCCCTAGTTTGTCGTAGATGAGATTTGTTCGGAGATGAGCTAACAAGGAGAAAATTGCATATCTACCATCGCATAAGTTTGGATTCGCTGAAATACCATCCCTTAATCAGGCTTCGCTAGAATACCATCCTCAACCAGGACATCTTTGCTAAAATACCATCTTAGACAAAAATACCCCTGATTCTTCTTCTTCCTCGCTCCAACCGGAAGAGCTCACCGGCATCCACCGCTGTGCCATTGGTGCCACCTTGCCGGCGGCGATGGTGGCGCGGCCCTCCCCATCGTCCTCGCCTTCCATCCTGCCCACCGCGCTGGTGTGAGGAGACCGCAGCTGTCGACAACGTCGACAGAGCCGGGGAGTCGACCGGGGAGTGGGTCGACGGAGACGAACTCACCGGCGACAAGGGCGGCGCATCAAGGCGGGCGGACGAACTCGCCGACGGTGGGGGCGGCGCGTCGACGGCGGCCGGCCGAGACGACGCCAGCGAGGCAGCGACAGGCCGAGACGACGCACGCGGCGGCGGCCGACCGACACGACACGGGCGGCGAGTCGGGACGGGGCGGCGGCGCGACGGCGCGACGGAGGCCGGCCGAGCGGCGGGGCAGCGGCGCGACGGCGCGCGGCTGAGACGACGCGAGCTGGCGTGTCCTCGTCTCACCTGCCGCTGCCGTGTGGCCCGTGTCGAAGGTGGAAGATGAAGAAGCGGGGGCATTTTCGTCTGTGATGGTATTTTGACGAACACACCTAGTTAAGAGTGGTATTCTAGTGAAACACTTTTTAGTGATGGTATTCCAGCGAATCCAAACTTATGCGATGGTAGATATGCAATTTTCTCGCTAACAAGAGATATATCCAGGTGGTTTTTTCGCACTTATGTTTGTTTATCCACAGCGAGAAAGCAGGATATTTCTCCCGTCGTGAAGGAAGAGCGGAACATTATCGATCTAAAATCGTTCTCTGCGTTTGGATGGTTCATAACCGAATTGAGCTCAGATTAGTAGCCTCACCGGCGGCTGTGTTGCAGATAACGATGAAAGCTCTAGCATATGGAGAATTCCAGTTCTAAGGTTTGCTGCTTATTTTCCATCTTTTGGATTCTTTTCTTGATCGTTTCTGTTCCTAATTCGTTTTCTTTATATTTTGCATTTGCAGTCCTGCAGCAGGTGCGAATGTATCAGGTGGTGGTGGCTCTCGTTTATGTTTTCACCAGAAACGATCAGGCTGGACGATAAGAAGTCATGTTCTGCTCCCAGTTCTGCCGTTCGCCATGTTCTGCTACATCTCTAAACCCAAATACAAACAGAAGCAGAAACTACCAAATCTGCCACATGTTCTGGTCCTCAGAAATCAGAGAGCAGATCATGCTCTGCTCCAAAGCAGTGCATGTCCATCTCTAAACCCAAAAAAAGAAGTGATGTTCTGCTCCCAGTTCTGTGCCATGATCTGCTACATCTCTAAACCCAAATACAAACACAAGCAGAAACTACGATCCATGTTCTGCTACATCCGCAGAAGAAGCAGAAGAACTTGTACTGCTCCAATTCACGGATTCGTCCGACAAAAAACTACACCACAGACTCGAGGCATATTCTGCTCTCAGTTCACACGACAGTCAGCAACTACGAAACAAAAAGATGGGGCATAGCGGACAAAGATGACAACAGAGAATTTGGATAACACAATAAGCTAAAATAGCTAAAAAAAACGAAGGAAAACTTCTTATTTTTATTTCACTCCAACGAGCAGAAGTTACAGAAAACTCAACTCAAATATTAGTCGCGTTTCTCTCATAGAAAATATCATACAAGACTATAGATAGTTCGTACGTCTAATCAACGATCATGCAGAAAGCAAGCCATTATTCCATATGATCTGCTCATTAAACAACTGGCTAAATGTTCTCCTTGGTTACATGTTCGATCGGAACAACTTCTGCGGCGCCGGGGGTGCTCCGCAGCTTCTGAAATTCATGTTGCAAGCTGCGTGACTATTTCTAGAAATGGATGTCAAATTTCTGGAGAGAGCGATTCATCACTTCACTCCTGTCACCAGTAGCCATGCAATGCACAGTTGCACAAAACCATTCCTGACCAAAGAACGCAACACATAGTCAGAACCAAACACACAAACAAGAGGAAAATTATAAAGAGCACATCAACCAATTCGAATCTTCGATATGTACCAATCAGTTGATGAGTTCTGCACACACTCGTGTCCATTCAAACAGACCTCCGTGCTCCCGCACCGCCCGCTTGTGCTGAGCAAAAGAATTCGTCGGCAAGGATCAGCCTTTCGCCACCGCCGGCTTCTGCTGCATGTCACCACTCGCCGAGACGCCGACGCGGTTCCACCTTCTTCCACCGTCGGCTTGTGGTGCTCGCCTGAACTCGCCGGCGAGGACGCACCAACGGCTACCGCCGCCTTCTGCATGCGACATCATGTGTCGACGAGGTTCCGCCTTCTGTCGCCGCGGAAGGCGATGCAACAGAACTCGCCGACGAGTTTCTGCCCTCTACCCCCAAAAGATTCTGCTCCATCAAATTTCTGCAGAACTGATCTGCTTCTGCTCACAAATTCCTCCTCTTCTGACCTACCTCGCCGCCGTTTTAAATAGATATCCCGGTAACAACCTCAATACTAACAACTTCCCTAATCAAACGGCCTTGCATGCGTGCAGATTAGCAAGCCTTGCATGCAGAACTTTCAAATGGCCTTGCATGCAGAACATAGCGCCACGAAGACCGCGCAGTGAACATATTTTTGCAAAATAAGAAAAATCAATATTTGATTTTCTGCCACAGTGGGTTAGTGGATACCTTCTCTCCTAACATGAGTGGGGCGAGACCCACAACCCGATAGGAGGTGGACAGGTGTTGGATGGCTACTATAGGAGGTGGACAGGTGTTGGATGGCCATAAGCTCGAAGGTGCAATAGGCTTGGCTCGAGCCTATGTCGAGCTCAAGCTTGGACAGACGAGCTCGCTCGAAGCTCGTTGACAGCCCTACTCTAGGGTTGCGAGAGAGGGAGAGAAGGGTCGCGCGTGTAAGCGGAAGAGAGGGTCAAGGGAGGAGCTACGGCCGCGCGGGTGTGGAGTGGGAAAGGGAGAGAAGGTTGGAGCAATCCAAGGCGTTGGATCTACGAGAAACGATCTTGACCTATCAATGAGGAACGAGGAGTGTAGCACTCTGTTCGTAATTTAAATAACAGGATAGATGTGATTTGAGGGAGACTATATTCCTTTTTCTGTTGCAATGTACATGCACTTAACTAGTGTTCAAAAAATTGGGTGCATACTGAAATGACCCGATATGGTCCATACTCCATAGCCTAATGATGGCCCGATTTGTGTGCATTGGCTGGAACTTAATTAGGAATCGGGCATATAATTGTTTCCTCAAAGGCCGATATAGTCATCTCCAAGTTGTACATGGACCGGACCGATAAAAAAACCGTGCCGGCCCATGAGCAAGGAAACGTATAGCAATGTGTAAATCTCCACGGTGATATAAACAAAATTGTTTCGTCTGTGAGTATTTCTTTTTCTTTTAATCGTTTCCTCCATGAATTGCTTCCATCTATTTGCGTGATAAACTCAAAGTCCCATCGTTTCACTTATGCTTATACTTATAAGCTAAAATTTAAATTTAAAAACTTAATTTTAAAATTAAATTAGTGGTGTTCTTCTCATAATTTATTTTACATCATTTGGTTTTTAATCGCTAAGAATGCGTACACAAATGTTTTTCAATAATTTTATTTTACACAAGCGAATGTTTTTGCCCTAAAATATAAGTATAGATTAAGTGAAACGATGGGGACAAAAATTTGACGGAAAAAATACAAATTATGACGAGTTTACGACAGATAACTCCATTAGTT